CTCCATCACTGCTTTGCCTGCTGAAGACGGCTCCTTACAGCAGAAAGTGAAGGTGTGTCTGTGGATCCCAAGCCAGTTTCAAGCCAACCCTCCTTGTCCTAGCAATGAAAGCGTTAAGATTGAAGAGAGACAGGGGATGACCATTTATTCCACGTAAGGAATACATCCTGGGATTTCCAGTCCCAAGTGCTGAGGTCTCTAGCATGCTCTGAAGAGCAGTGTTGGTTTTACCAGGTGACTTGCTGGACAATGGGTGCATGTGGTAGAAGGAGATGGAGGGGTCTTTCTAGACTCAAGACAGGTTTTTTATGGCATTTCTTGTCATTGGTCATGCTGCACCCATTTGGAATATGGATTTTTTTTTTTTTTCACTGAGAAAATAAGTGCAGAGGTTAGCCCTGAAAGCCTTTTTGTTTCACTTGGGGAGGTGAAGAGCAGGGGAGGGTGAATATGAGGGTACCAAGTCATTCCTAATCTCTGAAAACTATTGTTTTCCCCACTTTCGGGGATCAAGATGGTGCTTGGTCATTAAGAATGTCCTTTGGTGTGGTTCACATCAAACTACAGGTGTCAGCTGAAGCCTCATTTAGATGGACTTATGCCAGAGTCCATCATGGAAACAAGCAGCCATTGCATTACTTCAAATAGCCTTTGAATGTCTGTGGCTGTTGACTGACAAGCTGGGCTCAAACTAGCATCACAACGGGAATAAGCTCTTCACCTTGTATTTAACCCCTTGGATGTTCCCCTGCTTCCTTGCTTGAACTATTTTGTCTGACTCTAAATTGTCTGGCTCCTACCTTGCCTTGACTGCTGCTGGACCTTTGCTGCAGGCATGGGCCACTTCGGCAAGAACAGGCTCTTTTATCTCAAACCTTAGCCCTGAGGCAGGGTGGTGAGGTGCTGGCTGGTGTTGAAATGGTTCCCGTTGGCAGGAGGTCAACATAAGCCAGACCAATTCCAGCCCAGCCCTTTTAAATAGTGTTGTGAGCTGTAATTGTTAATAGGTGGGTGTTGGTCTCTTCTCCCAGGTAACGGGAAATAGAATGAGGGGAAATGGCCTCAAGTTGCACCAGGACAGGTTTAGGCTGGACATTAGGAAAAATTTTTTCACCGAAAGGGTTGTTAAGCATTGGAACGGGCTGCCCAGGGAAGTGGTTGAGTCCCCATCCCTGGAGGTATTTAGAAGACAAGTAGATGAGGTACTTAGGGGCATAGTTTAGTGGTGGGATGGCAGTGTTAGGTTAACTATTGGACTTGATGATCTTAAAGGTCTTTTCCAACCTAAACAATTCTATGATTCTATCTCTGTTCCCACCGCCCCCCCTTTTCCTTGGGCTCACTAGAGTTTGGCTTCCCTTCATGATCTGGCTACCAGCAGATGGTTGTTCACACCACGGTGAACATGGTTGTTGACAGCATTGGTGTAAGGACTGCGGGCTGAGCAGAGTTGGAGATAACCTTGCACTGTAGGAAGCTGTTCCTCTTGATATGGTGTTGATTCAAAGGGCAGGGCCGTTCTGCTGACTGATATATAAGGGTCTGTTTGGGGTCTGCCAACGGCTGACTGCACCCTGGCTGTATAACCCTTGAGACTTAATCTATCACAAAGTGTGCTGCTTCACAAGGACAGCATCTGGATCAAAATGCATGGCTAAATATATTGGGGCTATATATTGTTCTCCCTCTCTTCCTTTCTGTGCTCTGCCAGGACTGCTCAGCATCTCTCTGTGCTTGGTTTCTTTGCAGGCAGTTTGGTGGCTATGCCCAAGAAGTGGATTACGTGAACTATGCTGCCAAGCTGAAGTCTGCTCTGGGAAGCGAAACCACATACCGCAAGGATTTCTACTTCTGCAATGGTTATGACCCCCCCATGAAGCCTTATGGGCGACGCAATGAGGTCTGGTTTTTGAAAGAGTAAGCATCTGGTTCCCAGTGGTGCAGACTTGCACCGATAGCCTCCCCATACTATGTCTCTCTCCTCTTCAAAATAAACTAACAATTTGGCAGAGGCAGAAAACCATCCTTTCCTCTCTCCACACCTATGCCTTGGTCTTTTACGGACCAACCATTTTAGAAGAACACTTCAGAGCCCTCTAATGATCCTGCTCCTTTGTTCCGGGCCAAGTCCTCAACCACACAGACTTTCATGATCTCTCGGTGGCCTGCTTTTATCTCCCTCCTGCTTCCAGAGTTCAATGCTGAGACAGCCAAAGCACTTAATTAGCAAGACTGGTGCCTGACAGGAGTCACGTCCAAGTGCTGGCAGACTATTAGTCTCACCTGAGGCAGGCAGAGGAATATGACGAAAGTGCATACAGGGATTTCTTTATCTTCTTGAGCTTACTGCAGCTGTAAAATGCTGCTTTTATCTGTGCCGCTCCAAAAGCAGTCCAAAGGGACATGGGCATTGCTACTGACACACCACAGTGGAAATAAGCATCCTTTACATTGACTCATAGTGTGCAGGAGGGCAATGCTTCTGTCATCTGATTGAGAAATGTCATTTAGGGGAAGAGCCAGGTTTCTATTTGCAGCTATCCTTCTGTTTGAGGTGAGACATTTTGGGGTGTGTTATGTCCTGATCTCGGCTAGCAGCTGGACAATGTGACGTGGAAACCCCAAGATCATTTCTTCACCTTCCTGTTACTTGTGTGTAACACAAGTTCTTTAAAACTAGCCTACACAGGAGCCAAAGGACCAAAGCTGAAATGCGTGTGGTAATCTAATTGAATTAGAAAAATACAGGCTGCAAAAAAAGCAGGTGCCTATTACTTGTGATCTGAGGGTGCATCTGAAGAATGGTGAGCATCTAGTGGAACTACTGTGGGTGCAGATCTTTAAAATGCCTCTCTTCTTCAATGGTGTTGGTTTCTGAAGGGCTATTCAGAGCAGCTGTCTTCTTTAAAGGGGGAGGAAAACCTGGCTGTTCTTGAAAACAGGGATTTAAGTCAAATAATGAGTGACCTTTTGGAAACTTCAATAGTAAGGGTGGGTCTTGTTTTAGGAAGACTGGCAATGTTTAACTGTTAGGCATCAAGCCAGCATTTTAGCTGTTGGCTCTGCCAGGGGGGCAGCAGGATGCCCGCAGCGGGAACATGCTCACACACCATGCTACCATGGGTGCCTGTATAATTCGTTACCTCCACTAAAAGAGGTGTGCTCCTCTGGTGCTTAAGTGCCCCAAAGTTCAGGTGCTTTCCAAAAGCCATTTTCCCCCTGGAGCTGAAAGAGGTTTGTCAGATGACATCCCAGGTTCTGGCTGGTTGAGCTGTTTGACCTGCGCCTGCTTTCTGAGAACAAATCTCAGCAGTAAAAGGAGAAAACCTGAGGTTCTGATGTGCTTTCCTTTTTTTCTCTTGCTGAGCCATGTAAGAGCTTTTCTGTGGGCCTCACGAGAGAGTTTCAGTCACCTATGTGCAAGAGCAACTAGTCAGGATGGGTAAAAAGAGTGGATACCATTTAATTTTTTAAAAAAACAAGAGAAAAACTATAGGCTGCAGTTAGTGATTTCAGTGCAGGTGAGGAGGAATCAAAAGGGAAATCAAGGCTAAGAGGTAGGCTTTTGAAGGAGTTTTTTAAGAAGCAAAGGCCCTTCTAAGGCTGTCCCTGAATCCAAAGGGACCTATTCATGTCCCGGATTATTTTTACCTGTGTGGGTGAGGAATGGAGCGGCACAGTGCTGCCCGCTGTATGCATTCCTGGGTTCATTTTGGAATTTGTGTGTAGTCTGTGGATGCAATCCTTTCTGGCTACTGGTGGTGAATGTCCTGCAATCCTGAAATTTCTCAAAATTTCTCCTGTGAAATCTCAGATGTTAGGAAGACCGGTAAGAAAGCTGGTATGAGCAGAGCTGCACATCTCAGCAGCGTGGGGGGGGGTTTCATAACATGCATACGCTCTGAACAGAGAGCGAGAGCTTCTGACCCAGCAGTGAGAGTAATCACATCTGCAGGCTCTGCCTGTGCAGCCCTGCTACTGGCCTTTTGCATACGGTAGGCAGGGTACAGTTTCGTAAACAGTGTCAACTGATATCAAAAGCTTATGCAAACAGAATTGCCTTTTCTGTATGTTGTGGTTTAAGCCAGCAGGCAGCTGAACACCACACAGCCGTTTGCTCACTCCTCCCTGCAGTGGGATGGGGGAGAGAATGGGAAAAAAGGTAAAACTTGTAGGTTGAGATAAAGGCAATTTAGTAGGACAGAAAAGGAAGGGAAAATAATAATAATGATAAGAGAATACACAAAACAAGGGATGCACAATGCAATTACTCATCACCCGCTGACTGATGCCCAGCCAGTTCCCGAGCAGCGGCCCCACCCCCCTGGCCAACCCTCCTGAGGTTTTTTTGCTCAGCATGACGTCATACAGCATGGAATATCCCTTTATGGAATGTCCCTTTGGCCAGTTTAGATCGGTTCCCTGGCTGTGTCTCCTCCCAGCTTCTTGTGCACCTCCAGGCTCCTCGCTGGCAGGGCAGTATGAGAAGCTGAATAGTCCTTGACTTAGTGTAAGCACTGCTCAGCAACAACTGAAACATCAATGTGTTATCAACATTCTTCTCATCCTAAATCCAAAACCCAGCACTGTACCAGCTACTAGGAAGAAAATGAACTGTATCCCAGCCGAAACCAGGACACTGTACAAGCAAAGATGCCTGTGTTCTTCTGTATTTTCTAGAGTTTTTAAATAAAATAATGCTGTGATTTACAGTCTTTGTGCTGTTCATTGACTTTGTGATCTCAGTGGGAGTTGTTGATTTGAAAGACTTTAGGTTGCTGGTTTGTTTTTCTGTTTGTCATGTCGCAGCATCTATAAATAGTCATAATGCTTTTTCTAGTAAATTGCTATTTTAGATATCCTGGTGTGGCCCTGCATTGTCTGACTGTGTGAGATGGGAGCTGATGGAGCAATCTCCTTCTTTGTTGGTTCCAGCCAGGCTTTGACTGATGTATTTGTGTTAATGTAGAAGCTAGGGGGCCTGCTCACCTGAGGAAAATTGTGTGTTCTCGTGGCTAGGGTTCACGGACAGTGTTCAGGCAAATATTCATGACTGACTTTCAACATGACCTACATCTGGAAATGTTAGACAAATTGTCACATTGATGTCCATCTAGCTGTGTGCCCTGCTGCCCATGGTGGACAGTAGTGAGCATCTGAGACAGGTTACAGGATCAATGCAACTGTGGGCTGATCTCTCCTCTAAATATTCACCTGTCTTTAGTACAGTGTGGCTTAGGGATATTTCTTATTGTGCTTGGTAGACCCTGGCAGACTTTGTCCCATGCATTTGTCCAACTGCTTTTTAGACTAGGTAAGCTTAGTATCCATGGCATCCTTTTGTCCTTCGGCAAGGAGTTCCTTGCGTATGGAAGGGCAGAAATACTCTTTGGCCTGAGGGTTTCTTGCAGGTTGTCTGTCTGCTCCATAGGCAGCTGGGTCAGCCAGCTTTTTGATATGCCTCCATCACTGCACGTGCATATTTGTTTGGACAACCAGACTCATCGCTGACATTAGAGGGTTTCCAGCAACCTCTCTGTACTGGGGCCAGGAGTCAAAGGTGCGCTCCAGATTTTGACCCAAGGCCAACACGATCACAGCTGCTCCATTACATGCAATTGGCTCCTGAACTGATGTTAAAAAAAAAACCTTTTCCTCTGCCCCCTCCAGTATTTGTTCTCCGAGGAATAACAGTGCAGCAGATCGCATAGAGACCTGCTTGCTTCTCTTCTGTGCCTGTGCAGTGCCTTTTTCTGTCTCAAGCAAATGCTGAAACAGGGACATTTTGGTGCTTTTCTGATGTTCGACAGGGAGTCATGGTGTTAACTGTTGCATGTGGATTTAAGAAGACCATGCAGGGGAAACTGGAAGAAAGATGTTTCTTCTTGCTTAGGCACCTCAGCGCTGTTGGCAGCTGATTTGCTGGGTTGTTGGGGTACAGTAGGTGTGCGCAGAGAAGGCTGCGTCACTGCCTGGGACCCCTCTCCCATCACGCTGCTTGGTGAGGAAGAGGAGCACCTCCTGGGCTGGACTGGCTTAGCAGGGTAATGCCCTTGGGAATTATCTCTGTCTTCCAGAGGCAGGAATGGACTTGCTGCTAATTAACAGCTGGGCAGGTCCCTCCAGGCATGGTGAGGATCGGCAGTATGACGGCGATAGGGCCGGCCACAGGAAGGCCCACATTTAAACAGAGCCAAATTCAAAAGTATAATCTTGATGGGAATTAAATGCATGCCATGTAGGTTTACCACTACTGGATATACTGGCTTCCTAAGCTGCCCCACTCATTAGTAACAAGATCTGTGAGGGTTTTCCTGGTGTCCTCAAGAGTGGCAAACTATACATATTTTTATATATGTACATCTGTACCTGTATAAATATGTGTATATATATCTGTACATGTATATGTACACGCATATGTATATATATATGTAGTGTATGTGTAGGGGCCTCCAGACCCCCTGCTTTGATCTGTTGGTTGGCTTCTGCTGTCACTGAATAACTTGCTAATGTGAACACAGCCACAGCGCGAACATTTGCAGACTGAGGTTTTAGGTCTGCTGGAATGAGAGCTTTGTTAGCTTTGCAAATAAATATTTTCTTTTATAGACACATGCCTAAATATGTCTAACACTGCATTAAGAAGATGGCAGCCTTTATAAAAGAGCTAATTGGTTAAGTTGTCCATATAAATCTGGCCAGACTTATAATACTCTAGTCACTTGGAGGGGATGGGTGATTTATGGTGAATGGGGAAGTAACTTCATTATTTCCCCATTTTCATCAATCACCATGGCAAAGGGTGCGTGAGCAGCTATTGTGCTTGTGGTAGCAAATTTTCAGTTTTGCAAGACTGCCCGAAGGCGATGGGACAGGGGAAGAAGATGGGTCCTAGCTCACACTGTCCCTCCTGCTGTAATTACAGAATACTTCTCTTACAATAGGACTCTGTGCAGCAGCTCGCTCTCTTTTGTGACAGCATTTCAGCCACACTGAGCTAAAAAAGAAATGCATCTCTTTTAACAGGACCATAAGTAGTTTTGGATGTATAATGCCTCTATAAAACTGCTTGGCAACATGATTTATTGGAGCAGGATGAGTGGTAAAAGTGACTTCTCTTGACAGTAATGGATGAAACACTTGCAGTGCAGCTACTCCGTCTCTGCTTGGTGCCTATGCCAACAGCAGGCTGGTTTTGTCAGCTCATTCATAATCTCTGCTTTGCTTTCAGCAGAATCTGTTGCACAAGAGAGGTTTCAGCCATGGCGGATTCTTTTTTCTGGAGCTCTATGGGAGCTGCTGCAGAAGATGGGCCAGCGCAAATGCTGCTTGATTCCTAAGGTGCTGTCTCTCTTGTTCCACATCCAGAGCTCGTGCCTAGATGAGAGCTGGGTGCACGCCACTCCCCTACCCCTCACTGCTGCTCACCCCTTAGTTTCCGTAACGAGAAACTCGAGTGAATGGGGTTGAAGGAGCCATACTGTTCTTAGACTGAGTGTGAGGTCTGGCTGATCAGCAGCCCAAGGTCAGATGTGTCTTCTGTGCCGTCCCAGTGAGAAGACTGGCTTGAGGAGCCTGAATTTTAGGTGCAGGTTTTTCAAAAGTACAAATGAAAGTGAAAGATCCCAGAAACCACATCCTGAAAAGGTACCACTGGGATTTAGGTGTTTCAATGTCTTTGAGAATCTGGAGTCTCATGCCTATAGGTCAATTCACTGCTGGGTACCAAGCACAGGATCAGGCCAGCGCCTCC